CGGCCATCCTTGGTCTGTTCGGCAGCTTCTCCTGCGGCCATCGGCCGCTCAGCTCTTGTGTCAGATAAGGCGGTTTGAAGGAGCCGTTTAAAGTCCTTCCCTTTGCTCTTCTCTGCTAGAACCGGGAGTGAAAAGGCCTCCACGGGACCCTAAGAGGAAAGCCACAAGCAGAGTCCCAGCAAGGAGTCACGCAACGACAGACTCTTCCCAAGGCACAACTCCAGGCTGGATGGAGCAACTCCCGACTCTGCTGAGGAATCAGAACGGAGGGCAGATGACCTCTAGAGCCCCTAAACCCACACCTTGAAAGCCCAGGAAAGGAGGAAGGCCCGGGAGGAGACCGGATGGAAGAAGGAAGAATAGGCCTTCCGGCGTCTCCCGACAGCCACAGAACGGTGCCGTCCGACTCATGAATGGCAGCAGAAGAGGCAGAGACCACGGAAGGGTTGAATGTTTCATCAATGGAGACTGGGGCACTGTGTGTGATGATTTGTGGACTTCTAAAGCAGCTGCAGTAGTTTCTCTCCAGTTGAGTTACTGTTTTGTAATCCGGGACACCATGAGAGCAGAGTTTGGGGAGGGACATTCACTTTCAAGTTTACTTGACTATTTTCAGTCCGTAGGACACGAGGAGAGCCTTCTGGAATGTTCCCATTCAGACACTGGAAAGCACAATTATTCCCACAAAAAGGATGCAGGAATGACATGCAGTCAAGGAGACGTTTTTGAGTAGAAATACTTACAGTGTAACATGAGTTTGTGCGGTGACTTTTTTTAAAAAATAAGACCACATGAATACACTGTTACGGTTATCAGATTGGCATATGGCTTTGGAAAGATCCATGTCTGTAGGGCAGGCCGGGATGGGAACGTTTCAGGATGCCCTTGCGATACCCCTGCTTCACAAGCTGCAGTGGCGATTAGCAGTCTGGTTCATCACATAGTTAGCCAGATGTTGAAACTGACTGGGCATTTTTATTCACCTATCAAGTCCTTCCCAAGAGCTTGGGATAGGCAGGTGTGGGTGTTTGGTGACATTAAAGGTCTTGTCAAAGGATGTAAGCTATATCGAGTAAAGCTGCCTGTTGCAATTGACCAGTGCTGATTTGGTCAATGCCTCTGGTATAAAGACAGTGCTCCAGTTGTTGTATGAAATGGTTATGAGATTGCATCCAAGGCATCTATTATTATTGGTACTATCTTTCACGAATGAAGGTGAACATACATGTCCCAGGCTAATGTTGCAGGATCCAACCTTGATCGGTCACCAGGACCAGCGGTTTTGTCTTCTGAGCTTTCGGATTCATGCTGGAGCCCCCATCCTCAGGGATCTTCTCTCTAGCTGCCAGAGAGGAGTTCCACAAAGATGGGCTCCAAGCACGAGACTGAAAGCTTGGAAGACAAAACCTCTGGTCCTGGTGACCGACCCAGACGGGATCCTGGTACTATCTTTGCTTTCTTTTGCCACAATCGTTCTATTTCTCTTTGCGGTTCTTTGTATTTTGTTATCTTCTCTCTCTATTCTGCTTTGCTGCTTCCAGATACTGCCATGTCCACTATCCAGATTTTTTCCTCTTTCTTCTCACCAGTTGTTGAGTCTGGGGTGTTATGTGGCAGGTTCCTGTAGGCTTGAATTTGAAGTCCCAGAGCAATTTCGCTTCTTCATTTTCCATTATTTCCTCTGTTTTATGGTCCCACCAGTTATTTCTTGCAGGCATATGGTATTTCTTGCGGATCTTCCAATCCATCGTTGCTGTTACTTTGTCATGCTGCTGCTTGTAATCAGTCTGTGTGATTGTTAAATATCCCACTCCTCTCACAGTACAGAGTGACTCTGAGCAGGGTGCTCAGTATGCTTCCAGGTGCAATTCAAGATCCTGGTTGTCTACTCACCAAACCCTTTATGGCACAGTACTGGATTGCCAGAGGGGCCGTCTATCTCCATGCTGCTTGCCTATCCAGTGCCAGCCGATAGGTCAGGGCTCTCCGAATCCTATTCAACCATCGTCTACTAGCACCCAAGAAGCAGGCCTTCTCTGCCATGGTGCCTGTTGCTTGACAGGCTCCTCCCTGATACTCCGTGGCCCCTTCCTTGATGGCATTCAAGAAAGCCTAAAAATCTGGCATTCTCTCAGACTATGGGTTAACCTGGTTGGGACTTTCTGCAGGTTTTGTTTGGGGATGTGGATTGTGGAGCCTGTTTGCCAGACTCACCAACCATTCTAATTCTCTACCCTGCTCAATGTGGAGTTGGGTGGTGAATAAATTAAATTAAAGGGATGTACTGTAGGTAAATACTATATCTAGAGCAAGTAATTGCTTGGCATTTGAAAGTGGAACACGAACTAAACAGTATTAGAAGATACCCTTTATAAATAAGCAAATGTATTGTGTTGAGTGTTTTGAATTAAACACCAGATGTTTATGTTCTTCTCTTTTCATTTTTTGTTACTTATAAGAATGTATATTACCTGACTGCGTTCTCCAAAAGGAACATCCCTGTAACACAATCATGATGGAGAATTTAATAAAAAAGGACTACAATCTCTGAGAAAAACAGAAAGCCAGTGCTACCCTATTCTTCTTTGTTCTGAAATGGGTGCTGCTAAATTTACTCCTACGCTGAATTATATAATTATTGCAACCTCACTGATGAAGTTCAGTCATCATGCCTAAAGGATTTCTATTCATATTCTAGTCTTAAACTACACTATAATATAATACACTTAATTTTGGAATGGTTTCTTTTAGAAATTCAGGCAACTGTGGTTTACTCAGTGATGGGTTTTAAACGAGATCTTAAAACGGGGTACAAGTAGTTTTCAATTCATGATCACAATTGGGAGCAGAATTTCTGAATTTTCAGAAGCCGGCTGGGTAGATCTCCAACGGGAATCACTTGAACCCAGGACACTGCAACTGTTAGGAAGACTTGCTGTGTAAGGACCCACCTCAAATCTACATCTTAAGAAAAGAGAACTCTTGGAATGTCTCTTCCAACAGGAATTTTTATTAAGAGAAACTGATTGCAGGCATGCTAGACAGGATCTGGGGGATCCCCCCCACCATTCAATGTTTTAAAATTGTTCCCAAGCAGCCCCACCCCATAGTTCTTTTGGGCGATTCAATTCGGCAGATTCCTAGTTGTTAAGTCCAGGAAATATATCATCAGTCCGCTCCGTCGGCACAATCACTCATTCTCTCTTTTCCCAGATCCCAGGTGTTGCATTCCCCCCCCCCCCTTTTCCCTCACTGCTGGCAAAGGGGAGAAATTCAGAGGGAGTGGGATGAAAGGGATGGCTGCATTGTTATGGTTAGTACTCTCAAAGAGAATCAACAAACGGTGACTTTGTAGTTAATGGAGGAAGTGAGGGTCATAAAACCCCCATGCTTACCCTCCTCCCCTTTCGTAGTATGACAGAATGCAGAAGAGAGTAAGAATTGGTTTTTATCAGAGTAGGTAGATAGAAATGAAATATCATTGGATTCTGACATCCTGGTTGCCAGGTCCCTGGAATTCGATCCCACGGAGATCCCCAAACCGTAGGGATGTTGCAAGAATTGTGAGTGTGCAAAATGATTTCCAGAGCTTGGGGCAGGAACTTAGCAAAATAGGCTGTAGGCTAACTTTTTCAGAGGTTTTACCAGTGTATAAAGAGCAAAATGCAAAAGGCCAGCATATAGCACAATTCAATATGTGGCTAAAGGAGTGATGTAAAGGGGAAGGCTTTGATTTTATTAGTTACTATGTCAGAAGCTGATCCAATGAAAAAATGTACAAAAGAGATGGTTTGCAACCATCAAAGAAAGGGACTGAGTTACTCGGCTATAAATTCACAGATTTTTCTGGAGGAATATTTACACTAAACAACGGGGACAGTGAGTTAGTTAATTGATATAGAGCATCCCTTTCCACGGGAATCTAAAAACTATAGTGCTATCAGTGCATGTAACAAAGATATGTGTGTGGACAAGAATACCAACCTTGCTGTCAAGCAAAATCAAGCTTTCAATAATGAATACCACACAAAGTGCACTAACCAAATTGGTGGTAAGACAATAGGGGAACTTGGGCACCACACAGGTTATACAGAAAGTAAACACAGGGTCGGTCATAAAGGACTCAAATGTCTATACACCAATGCACAGAGTATGAACAGCAAATAGGGTGAACTAGAAATTCAGGTTAATGAGGGCAGATATGATATTGTTGCCATTGCAGAAACATGGTGGGATGAAACCCACAAATGAAACACACAGCTAGAGGGATTTAAATTATTTAAAAGAAACAGACCAAATAAAAGAGGAGGTGAAGTTGCTCTCTATATAAGAAGTAACTATATCTCTACAGAATTAGAGCACAACTATGATGAAAACTGTCTTGAATGCTTTTGGGTCTATATAAAAGGGGGGGGGGGAAGAATGACATTGCCATAGCTGTATACTACAACCCAACCAACTAAACAGAGGACATAGATGAACGTTTTGCTAGTCAGCTAACTAAGGTTTGTAGGAAGCGCATCACAATAGTAATGGGGGACTTTAACTACCCTGACATCAACTGGGAGACAAACTCTGCACCAAGTGGAAGATCAAACAGATTCCTGACAAACCTAGCAGATAACTTTGTCTCCCAAAAAGTGGAGAAAGGAACTAGAGGATCGGCTATATTGGACTTAATTCTCACTAACAGAGAAGAAACAATAGGAACTGAAGCCACAGGAACTTTGGGGGTGGAGTGATCATGCAATATTGGAGTTCAACATTATGCAAGCCCAAGCAATAGAGCACAGTCAAACTTGGACTTCAAGAGAGCTAATTTCAACAAACTTAGAGAGAACTTGGGAAGGATTCCATGGATGAGAATCCTCAAGGGGAAAACAACTCAAGAAGTTTGGGAAATTTTGAAAAGCGAGATAATAAACCCTCAGTCTAGCACAATACCAACAAAGAAGAAAAATAACAGCTCTCAAAAGAAACCAGTATGGCTGCATAAAGAACTCTCTGATAAATTGAAAGACAAAAAGGACGAGTATAACAGGTGGAAAGAGGGGCAACTAACTAAGACAGAATATCAGCAAATAGCCCAAGCCTGCAAAGACTAAGTGAGGAAAGCTAAGACTCAAAATGAACTAAGGCTTGCGACAAAAGTCAAAAATAACAAAAAAAACCCCTTCTTTCAAAATGTAAAGTTTTAATTATGGGTAAAAAGAACAGAAAATTTGAAAGTAAGTATATACTAGTTGAAGAGGGATACGTATTTTAAGCAGCATATTATTTTCTTTTTTTCTCCTTTTTTTTCTTTCTCTCTCTCATGTCTTTCTTTTGTGTCCAAAGGAATCCTGTCATCTCCTGGAGGATTCCGCTGGCTTGATGATGTCATCTGGACTGTTCAACTGACGCTCATCTGCTGACAACGGCTCCAAAGATGTAAGTTGGGCTGCTGGGCTCTGGGGAACTTTCCCCATTTTGTGGCCAATTTCTCAGAGGAGGGGGATATTTCACAGAGGAGGAGGGGGGAGTAGCCATGGACAGAAAGGAACAGCTGTCTCCAGGAGTTTAAATCTTTTCATTCTGGGATGAGAAGGGAAAACAGAGTCCAGTTGCCTGGTGTTAAAAGCATCTTTGGGATAAATCTCTTAGGAAAGGGGAAACGGGGGGGGGGGGGAGGAGGCAAAAGGGTTCCAGTTTTATCTTTAGTTCCTGATTGGGGCTAAAAGCCCTGGTTGAGGACTTTCCAATAGGTCTAACCAAGGTTCAAAGGGATGAGCTGGTTTCTGGACTCAAAGGGATTGTGGAAAGAAGACTTTAGTTGGTCCCTTTTCTTACCTTCCTTTTTTTCTCTCTTCCAGGGCTTTGTGCATCCTGGGGTGTTTCCGCTGTTGGAAAACAAGCCACAAGGAGAATGACCCCACACCCGATACAGCCCCTTCCCCAGTCTGCCCCCCGAAAAAAAGAACAAAACTTATTATTGAAATAACGATGGTGAAAAGGGAGCCATGTGGTGAGTGGACACCCTGGGTCAGGCTCTTCCTGGCCCCCCCAGCACCCCTCCTTCTGCAGCTCCTGCAGGTATCTCTGCGAGGGTCTGTCCTGGATCCCCAAATGGAGCTTGATCCCCGAATTGCCCTCGTAGAGGGAGCAGGAGTTGTCCTCCATGCGAATCTCTCCAGCTCCGTGAAGCAGAAAGAGCATCTGAATAGAGGGGATGGGGTCTCCAGGGGGAGAAGGCTGCCAAGAAGGGTCTGATTTGGGGGGAGGGGGTCTTCATCTGGGGGAGACCTAAAAGTTTGCTGAGCACCTGCCTCTCCTTTTTCCAGAGGTCAGAGAAAGGAAGAGGAGGACGAAGAAGAAGGAGCCCCTCTTCCTGAGGACAGAGAAAGTAAGTAACCACCTGAAAAGGCCCAACTGAGAGCCCCATCCTCATATAATCTCTCTCTTGAGGAAAAGGGGCAGGGAAGCATGGGTTCTGTTTCCTTTCCATCCACTGGGTGGATCAGGGAATCCCTGGACGTGGCGCTAATCCGTGTCTCGATGGGCCAAAGGGAAGGTGGGGAAGACTCTGCAAGACCCTTTGGCAACAGGAAGGTTGAGGCCTCTCTTTCTGTCTCTCTCTTCCAGCTCCCACACCCCCAGATTCTCAACTTGGAGGGGTTGACATTTTAATCAACGAAGGTAACTTTCTTACTGATAATGTAATAAATGAAGATACTAATGGCTGGCCATTGTGCTGATATGCACAGGCTTCCCTTACTTTCCTTAATTTGTTCCCCCTTTTTTCTCCCCCAATGCAGGAGATTTGTACATAGAAGACCTCTAACTTCCTCCCCACCACCATCCCCCCCATCCTCCAAAGCCCCTGCAGGCAGGACAAGGAGCGACGGAGGGAAACGGATCAAGGAGAGAAGCAACCTGGAACCAAGGAGGAATTTCCTGACAGTGAGAACAATTAACTGATGGAGCAACCTGACTCCAGGGGTTGTGGCTGCTCCAGCACTGCAGGTTTTTCATGGGACACTGGACAGCCACATGTCTGGCATGGTATAGGGTTTCCTGCCTGAGCAGGGGGGGTTGGGCTAGATGACCTCCAAGCTCCCTTCCAACTTTATTAATATTATCATTGTTGTTGTTGTTATTATTATTATTATTATTATTATTATTATTATTATTATTATTATTATTACTATAGCACGGATTTAAATGCCTCCCACTCGGACTCAAGAAAATTCCCTTTGTTTCTAACGCCATCGGTTAATGATGTCAGCCAAGATGGCGGCAGCGTTGGAAGCAGAATCGGATATCTGGGGAGAGAAGGAACCAAACTCAGGTGGAAGGTACTAGGAGGGGGTGGGGGAAGGGAGGAAAAGGAAGCAGAAAGCTAGAGAGGGAAGAGAGAAAGGATACAGGAAGAGAAGAAATTGGGGCCAGGAGGAAAAGGCCAGCAAACAGGAGCGCAGCAAATGAAAGGCTGCGCAGGGAGTCGGAGGCAGCCGGCAGCAGGTGACATACTATGGTGGTATGCAATATCTGCTGCACATATGTGCTTATGTCCAAAGAACATCCAAACTACATGTGCATTAGATGTAAACTAGGTGAACTACTACAAGGAAGAGTAAGGAACGTAGAGGCAATGCTAGCCAAACCCCAACATACCAAAAAAAGCTCTACCAAAACCGAACCAAATAATGAAGAAATAGCTCCCAGAGGATTTGACCCTCCTGACAAACCCTTGGAGGAGGAAGACAAATGGAGCTATCTCACACACAGAAGGAAACACAACACTCAAAGAAAGAAGCAGCATACAACTACAGTAAAAAAGCCCTTCTGTCCAATCCAACACAACCAGAAGCAACACCATTAAAACTGAGCAATCGATTTCTCCCCTTAGAAGGAAACACGCAGACCCACAACCTCCCCCTCAAAGAAAACATGTAGACACCTAGCAACTTTAAGTATCCCTAGAAAAATCACTTCAAACATCCCTAAACATGTCACATCAACAAACACACCTGAGATAAGCAGAAAAGCACCCCAGACTGCAGCCCACAAAAAAGAAGGCGAGTGTTGGTAATAGGAGATTCTATCCTCCAAGGAACAGAATCATCCATCTGCAGACCAGTCATACAATCCAGGGACGTATGTTGTCTCTCTGGAGTAAAAATCAAAGATGTGGCTGAGGACCTAACCAAAATAATACAGATTATTATCCTTTCTCCTTCATGGATTACTGCCTTGTCGTGGCGAAGGGGCTTGCGTAACTCATTGAAGCTTTGAGATATGCCATGCAGGGCCACCCAAGACGGACAGGTCATACCAGAGAGTTCTGACAAAATGTGATCCACCGGAGAAGGAAATGGAAAACCACTCCAGTATCTTTGCCATGAAAACCCCATGGACAGTACTAAAAGGCAAAAAGATATGACGCTGGAAGATGAGCCCCTCAGGTCGGAAGGTGTCCAATATGCTACTGGGGAAGAGCACAGGGCTAGTACTAGTAGCGCCAGAAAGAATGAAGCGACTGGGCCAAAGCCGAAAGGATGCTCAGCTGTGGATATATTTGGTGGGGAAAGGACAGTCTGGTGCTATAAAGATTTTTTCTCCATAGGGAAATGTAAGATCCATGAATCAAGGCAAGCTAAACGTAGTCAAACAAGAGACGACAAGACTGAACATCGACATCTTAGGTATCAGCGAACTAAAATGGACAGGAATGGGTGAATTTAACTCAGATGACCATCAGGTAAACTACTGCGGGCAAGAATCCCTCAGAAGAAATGGAGTAGCCTTCATAGTCAATAAAAGAATAGGAAAAGCAATACTGGGATATAATCCCCAAAATGACAGAATGATCTCAGATCGAATCCAAGGCAAACCATTCAATATCAAAGTAGTCCAAATCTATGCCCCAACCACTGGTGCAGAAGAGGATGAAATTGACTGGTTCTATAAAGCCCTACAGCACCTTATAGAATTAACACCAAAAATTGATGTCCTTATCATCATGGGGGATTGAAATTCTAAAGTAGGAAGCCAAAAGAGAACTGGAATAACAGGCAAGTTTGGCCTTGGAGTACAAAATGAAGCAGGGCACAGGCTGATAGAATTTTGTCAAGAGAACACGATGGTAATAACAAACACTGTTTTCCAGCAACCGAAGAGACGGCTGTACACATGGACATCACCAGACGGTCAACACAGAAATCAGATTGACTATGTGTTCTGCAGCCAAAATGGAGAAGCTCTATACAGTCAGTAAAAACAAGACCAGGAGCTGACTGTGGCTCAGATCATGAGCTTCTCGTTGCAAAATTTAGGCTTAAATTGAAGAAAGTAGGGAAAAGCACTAGGCCACTCAGGTATGAACTAAATCATATTCCTGATGAATACACAGTAGAGGTGACAAATAGATTCAAGGTATTAGATCTGATAGACAGAGTGCCTGAAGAACTATGGACGGAGGTTCGCATCATGGTACAAGAGGTAGCAACTAAATCCATCCCAAAGAAAAAGAAATGCAAGAAAGCAAAATGGCTGTCTGAGGAAGCTTTGCAAACAGTTGTGGAAAGAAGGGAAATGAAAGGCAAAGGAGAAAGAGAAAAATACACCCAACTGAATGCAGAATTCCAGAGAATAGCTAGAAGAGTAAGAATACCTTCTTAAATGAACAGTGTAAAGAAATAGAAGAAAACAACAGAATAGGGAGGACCAGAGATCTCTTCAAGAAAATTGGAGATATGAAGGGAATGTTTCATGCAAAAATGGGCATGATAAAGGACCAAAATGGGAGGGACCTAAGAGGCAGAAGAGATTAAGAAGAGGTGGCAAAATTACACAGAAGAACTATACAAGAATGAGCTTAATGTCCCAGGTAACCACAATGGGGTGGTCACTGACCTCGAGCCAGACATCCTAGAATGTGAAGTGAAATGGGCCTTAGGAAATCTGAACAACAACAAAGCTAGTGGAGGTGAAAGTATTCCAGCTGAGCTATTCAAAATCTTAAAAGACGATGCAGTAAAAGTGCTACAGTCAATTTGCCAGCAAATTTGGAAAACTCAAGAGTGGTCACAGGATTGGAAAAGGTCAGTTTACATTTCAATTCTAAAGAAAGGCAATGCCAAAGAATGTTCAAACTATCGCACCATTGCACTCATTTCACATGCTAGTAAAGTTATGTTTAAAATCCTATAAGCTAGACTCCAGCAGTATGTGAATCGAGAACTACCAGAAGTACAGGCTGGATTTTGAAGAGGCAGAGGAACTAGAGATCAAATTGCCAACATACGATGGATCATGGAGAAAGCTAGGGAGTTCTACTTCTGCTTCATTGACTATGCTAAATTCTTTGATTGTGTAAATCACAACAAATTGTGGCAAGTTCTTAAAGAGATGGGAGTACCAGACCATCTTCTTTGTCTCCTGAGAAACCTATATGTGGGTCAAGAAGCAACAGTGAAAACTGGACACGGAACCACCGATTGTTTCAAAATTGGGAAAGGAGTCCAGCAAGGCTGTATACTGTCGCCCTGCCTATTAAACTTATATGCAGAGCACATCATGAGAAAGGCAGAGCTAGATGAGTCAAAAGTTGGAATTAAGATTGCTGGGAGAAATATCAACAACCTAAGATATGCAGATGATACCACTCTAATGGCAGAAAGTGAAGAGGAACTAAAGAGCCTCTTGATGCGGGTGAAGAAGGAGAGTGCAAAAGTTGGCTTGAATCGCAACATTAAGAAAATCAAAATTATGGCATTTGGCCCTCTCAATTCCTGGCAAATAGATGGGGAAGAAATGGAAGTAATGACAGGTTTTATCTTCCTGGGCTCCAAGATCACCTCAGATGGAGACTGCAATCAAGAATTTAGAAGACGCTTGC